GTCAATAACACAGAGGTCAAAGAAAATATTGGGGAAGTGATAATAAATACCACCAACTACGTAGACAGCTTTGAAATTGCGGAAAACCTAAACAATTTTTTCGTGGACAGCATTTTGGAAATACATACCAATATAGAGTGTGTAAACTATGATTTTTTCGAGCAACGAGCTCCCACAAGTACGCTAAAATTTGAAGAGGTCTCAACGGAAGACATTCTTCAAATTGCCAAAAAATTTAAGCGGAAAATTGGGGGAAACAACCTACTTTCTGAAGGTGTTATTAAGGACTCTGCTGATTATATGGGATATTTCTATGCCCTACTTATAAATAAGAGTCTCCAGACAGGATCAGTACCGGAAGAATGGAAAATTTCATCAATAGTGCCCGTCAAGAAAGTTAGAAAAACGGTTAAATCTGAGGAGCTTAGGCCCATCAATACTCTCCCTAGCTTGGAAAAAATGCTAGAAACCGTTGTGAAAAACCAGCTACAGTACTATGTGGAATCCAATAAAATACTCATAAAAGAACAATCTGGATTCAGAGCTAAACATTCCTGTGAGACTGCGCTGAATCTGGTGCTTTCTCAATGGAAAGAAGATCTGAACAGACACCTTAATGTAGTGGCAGTGTTTATTGATCTTAAAAGAGCATTTGCCACCGTTGATAGGGTCCGAATGTTGGATAAACTAAAATACATTGGTATAAAAAACACTGAGCTTGACTGGTTTAGAAGCTTTCTATGTAATCGTAGGCAACAAACAATAGTTAATTCAAAGATGTCTAGTAAGATAGCCGTAGACATCGGATTACCACAGGGCTCAGTTTTGGCACCCCTACTCTTTAATATATATATAAACGATATTAAAAGTTCTCTCAAACATTGTAAAATAAAACTCTTTGCGGATGATGCCTTGTTAACGATCAGGGATAGGGAACTACCAAATGCGATTGTCAAAATGCAAGAAGATCTTAATTCTTTGTATCAATGGCTGTGTTCAAATAAACTCAAACTGAATGTGAAAAAGACTAACTTTATGGTATTTTCCAGAGCGGCAAATGCTGACTCCATAAGCCGTGAATTAAAAATCAAAGATGAAAATATCGAAGAGGTGAAAATTGTCAAGTACCTAGGAATATACATAGACAACAAACTAAAGTTTGATGAGCACGTTGAGTATACAGTCAACAAGATTGCTAAAAAAATTGGCCTTATAAAGAGATCGTGTAAGTACTTGGGAAGAAGATATAAAACGTTGGTGTACAGGTCAATAGTAGAACCGCACTTTATATACTGCCCCACGATTTTCTTCCTAGCGGGGGACTCCCATGTAGATAAGCTGCAAAAAATGCAAAACCGAGCGATGAGATTCATCCTCAACAAACCGTATGACACACCAACAAGATGTATGCTTGAAACCTTGAATTGGTTAAGCGTGAAGCAACAAGTTTTTTACCACGCTATGAAATTTGTGTACAATATTAAGACGGGCAACCTGCCGGATTATCTTAGCGATAATCTCCGATATATAAATGAGACGCATACATATTTGTTGAGAGAGAATAACAGCTTCAGACTCCCGAAGTATAGAACAGAAGTGGACAAAAAAAATATTTTCTATAAAGGCTTAAAGTGCTTCAATGAATTACCAGAGGCTATAAAAAATTGTGATACTATCACTCCTTTCAAGTGGCTGCTATTTGACTATTGTAGAACGCAGCCTACAAGATAGTGATGTATCAACAATAGCGTGGATTGGAAACTAGGCCTTTCCAACCACCAAGATATCGAGACTAGGCGGATCGGAAACTCGGCCTTTCCGACTACCTAGACCCTTAGATAATAAACAATAAACGAGCGGATTGGAAACTAGGCCTTTCCAACCGTCAACCGTCACGAAAGCGCGACTGGGTGGATCGGAAACTCGGCCTTTCTGACCACCCAGGAGATATCAATAAATGGAGTAACCCAAAAAGAAGAGCGCGGATTGGAAACTCGGCCTTTCCAACCGTCTACATAACTTCCAGGAAATTGCATGCGTTTATATTGACATAAAATAATTGCAGTGATAAAGAAATAATGTTATTTAAAAATTTCTGTAGAGCATTTTGTATTTTGTGTTTAATATTTAATTTTTACATTTTAAATCTAAAATCTAATTATAAGAATGTTAAATCTTTGTTGCAATATAAGTCTAACAGACTGTAAAAAATAAATAAATAAATAAATAAATACTTCACAGCCTGTTGCCTCACTCTTTCCTCAAGAAATAATGGAACGGGCATATATTTCTGTTGCAAACGTGGGTTGCCTTGTGCTCTTTTACAAAAAACTTTAGAAAACCGTAGTAGAAAGCGTAGTAAATTTCTTAAGAACTGCGTACTGCCTTAAGGAAATTTGACTCAAGAAAATTTCTTAACCATTTCTTGTACGTCATTTTATATGGAGTTTTTGCTTTTCTTGAGAGCTGCATACAGGCCTTTTTTTTTAATTATATTATTATTATTATAAAATAAAAAGCTTATTTTTACTTTCTTAAGAAATTTACTACGCTTTCTACTACGATTTCCTAAAGTTTTTTGTGAAAAAAGAGCACAAGGAAACCCAGGTTTGCAACAGAAATATATGCCCGTTCCATTATTTCTTGAGGAAAGAGTGAGGAAACAGGCTGTGAAGTATCAAAAATGTCAAAATTCCTTGGACACACACGTGAACTAATGGCAATTTTTTCTTGACCGTTTTCTTGAGAGCTGCATACAGGGCTTTAGTATCCAGCTCTTAAGAAAATGCACAAGAAAATGTTCGTGTTCTTTCTTCTGCTTGAAATAGTAGTAGGCCAGTAATTTTGACGTTTGGTAATGCACCGTGAATAGTAAACAATGGCAGAAGAAGAGCGGTAAAAAGTAAACAAAAGAAACAATCTTTTGCCTATGACCAGTTTGTAAGTTTATAACAATATTTTTCCTTAAATTTATTAAAGTACATTTTAATTTATTTTGATTCAATTTCAGGAGATAGTTTTCACTGATATCGGAACATCACTATATCTACCGAAGAAATCTATTTGTCGGACAGTCGACTTTTAAAAGCATTAAAATTGTACCATTTTTTATATCGAAATATTTTCGACATCCCTATTTTCAAATTGTTCTGTCTTACCAATATATAATCACACATTCTACAAAACTATTTTTTACCGACTAAGACTTGAATTATCAATACGGCAGTGGTGAAAAGTTCAGATGGATTTATCAAATATATGCCGTGCCTGTTTGTCGCCGGAAGATCGGGTGCATCTGCTAGATTGGTATCAGCCTGTTGACTCTTTGGATATATCATTCAAAGAGTGTTTGTAAATGTACACAAATTAATTTAAGTTTGAAAGATGATCCAAATGAACTCGATGATGCCCGGATGCAATATCTATGCCTTGATTGTGCCCAAAAACAAAGACGTTTATGATTTTATTGAAAAGGCGAGAAGGGCTGATAATGAATTACGTTGCACACAAACGGAAAAAGTGAAGATAGAAAGTATAGCCAACACTTTTGAATGGGTTCCAGTACATGAAGAGCTAATGGAAGTAACTAAGATGCCAGATACTGTAGATATGGTATATCAAATACGATTTAGATATAATTAATAATTATTTTCTATTTGTTTACAAGGATCACGTAGAGGATATAAAAGTATCACCAGAATGGAATGAACATTTTATGGATGATGATGAAACATCCGCTTCAAATGATATCGAACACGAAATAAATATTGATAAAAAACTTAGTACTGACACTACAACAACAAAGTTTCTAGTTGAATCGGATAAGGATATGCAGAGCGGCAATAACTTAAATGAAGCTGGGCTGGTCTTATCGAAAAAAAGTAAACAACTCAACCCAAAAATTGAAATTACATTATTTGGTTTCCTCACACAGGGAGTTATGGAAATACAGAGATACAATAAAAGCCCCGCATAACTCATATGTATGCATCTTAAAAGTGTACATACATAGGTACTTCTACTATCGCGCAGGCGAAAAAATTTCAGTTAGTACGATCAAATAGAAAAATAAAAGTGCCAAAAAAGCTGTAATTCTTTTTAGTTCTTCTCATTTAACATTAAAATTCCAAACACATTCCTAAAACAAAAGTCCAGTGCAAAGTAAGATAAACCAGTTGTATACACTATAGAAATTAGAAAATTTTAGTTGGCAAAAAGAAGCACACGCAAAGATTTCACAAAAATGAATTGAAATATTATTATTTTTCAAAAGTGCCAAATTTGAAAAATTAAGTGCCATTTGAAGTAAAATACGGCCAAAAATGGTACGGTTTGAGCCAAGTTGGTAGCTCTGTGTACGATGTGTTTCTTCTGAATACTGTTAAGGAGATGTGGATAATGCTGCATAGTCGTGTGCCATGGGATGGTAAAGGTAAACGGAGAATAATTGTCTATAATTAACATACCGAAGTGGTCCAAAGGCTTAGGCCCAATTCCAGATGGCCTACTTAAGTAGAGATTGTTGATTAATTTTCACTATTCATTTTCAGATCATACATTTAATCTGAACTTAAATCGCCAATATTGACTATTTGAATATTAGATATACAACCCTGGGTTTGTACCAAACAACCAAGATTGATTGGTAAGTTGTTTAATCAATCCCACCAAAAAACAATCAGCTGTTCAGCACAAAATGTAAACAAACAAGCAAATGAAACAACAATTTCAAGGAACAAGCAGCAGTCCTGCCAATTGAGTGGCATATTTAAATACAGTTGATCTGAAACCCAACGAAAGCTAAAGGAATTTAAACAGCAATCCACAATTAAACTTAAGTGCCGTCTGAATATTCATTTGAAATTGGCCCTTAGGGCCCGTTGTTCAATGTCTGATTAACACAAATCGGAAGCTCCAGTTAAATACAACAACTGCTATTAAAAGCAACAAAATAAAATCTTTATAAGAGCTCTTTTTATTATATAAATAAAAATCTACTATATATTTGTGAAAGTATATATGTATGTATGTGCCAGATTGCAGTCTAAACGGACGGACAGAATCGAACAAAATTTTGACAGAGTATTGCCATTATAACTGGGCCTAAAATAGGGTGAAAAAAATTGGGATCCGACAAGGAGGCGTGGCACCTCCCATAGGCGTGAAATTTTTAATCAGCCATAACTTCCAGAAAACAAGTCACATGAACTCGAAACTTGGTATGCAGACATGTCAATGGTAGATGCTTATAAGCGGGTATATATAATCGAGTTTGTAAAAGGGGGCGTGGCGCATCCCATAGGCGTGGAATTTTTTATCAGCTATAACTTCGGAACCACAAGTCACACGAACTTGAAATTTGGTATGCAGACATACCAATGGTAGGTGCTAATACGAGGGTATATATAAGCGAGTTTGTAAAAGGGGGCGTGGCACATCCCATAGGCGTGGAATTTTTTATCAGCTATATCTACGGAACCATAAGCCACATGAGCTTGAAATTTGGTATGCAGACATACCAATGGTAGGTGCTAATAGGAGGGTATATATAAGCGAGTTTGTAAAAGGGGGCGCGGCACATCCCATAGGCGCGGAATTTTTTATCAGCTATAACTTCGGAACCATAAGTCACACGAACTTGAAATTTGGTATGCAGACATATCAATGGTAGGTGCTTATAGGAGGGTATATATAAACGAGTTTGTAAAGGGGGCGTGGCACATCCCATAGGGGTGGAATTTTTTATCAGCTATAACTTCGGAACCATAAGTCACACGAACTTGAAATTTGGTATGCAGACATATCAATGGTAGGTGCTTATAGGAGGGTATATATAAACGAGTTTGTAAAAGGGCGCGAGGCACTCCCATAGCCGCGGAATTTTTTATCAGCTATAACTTCGGAATCGTAAGTCACACGAACTTGAAATTTGGTATGCAGACATACCAATGGTAGGTGCTAATAGGAGGGTATATATAAGCGAGTTTGTAAAAGGGGGCGTGGCACATCCCATAGGCGCGGAATTTTTTATCAGCTATAACTTCGGAACCATAAGTCACACGAACTTGAAATTTGGTATGCAGACATACCTATGGTAGGTGCTAATAGGAGGGTATATATAAGTGAGTTTTTAAAAGGGGGCGTGGCACATCCTATAGGCGCGGAATTTTTTATCAGCTATAACTTCGGAACCATAAGTCACACGAACTTGAAATTTGGTATGCAGACATAACAATGGTAGGTGCTTATAGGAGCGTATATATAAATGAGTTTGTAAAAGAGGGCGTGGCACAACCCATAGGCGTGGAATTTTTTATAAGCTATAACTTCGGAACCATAAGTCACACGAACTTGAAATTTGGTATGCAGACATACCAACGGTGGGTGCTTATAGGAGGGTATATATAAAAGAGTTTGTAAAAGGGGGCGTGGCACATCACATAGGCGCGGAATTTTTTATCAGCTATAACTATAACGCCAAACGGCATTATACATAAACGGTATAAAATTACATAGAGGATGAAAACACTAAGTAAATATGAAGAGAGTTTACAATATTTCGTTGCACAGACATGTGTATCAATAAATTTATTTATTTTT